AGCTCGGCGGGCTCCCTGGCTGGCCAGGCTCCTTCAGCCAGAGGGTTTGTAATTAGAGCTAAAGCACCCTGCCCTGTTGTCACCATCTGGCGACTGCGCCACTCTGTGCTTAATTACCTGTGACTCTCGAAACCCCCTAGCCACTTACTCCTGGGCTTCTTGGGTGTCTGTCCTCCTGTCCCACTGTCCCTCACTGCTCCTGACCTCATCATCCCTGGTCCCTCGATGATTCCTCTGTCCTCTGAGAGGCCCTCCCCGCCATGGCCACCATCACTGGTTTCTTCCAGGTCGCACTTAGCAGCTGGCTCTAGCCTGTCTGTGTCTGAGCAGGCCCTCACACACCCTCTGTGGGATGCCCAGCTGCTGTCACTGCATCCAGCATCTGAGACAACCACTCAACAGGAGGGAAGGTTAGCCTGGGTCTGTGGGTCTGGAGCTTCCAGCCCTGGTGACTGGCTCTGCCACTCGGGACTGTTGTGGCACCGCATGCTGCAAGTGTGGTGGAGCAAGCAGGTTCTCTCATGGCAAGGGGTGAAAAGAAAATGGTAAGAGACAGGGTCTCCTCAAGGCCCTGCCTCCTCAGGGCATACCCTCATGGGCACCACCCAGAGACCTCACCTTTGTCCACAGCCTTGGGGAGCCTTCCAGGCCCAGACCCCAGTATCTGCCCCAGCCTATGAGGTTGCATTTTCCCCAGTGACCTCAGTGACTGAGAAGCAAAGCATGGACAGACCTGGAGGCTGGGCCCTGGAGGCTGTGGGCTGAGGCAGCAGCTCCTCCCTGAGGTGCTCACACTGCACTGGCATTTTGGGATCTCAAGGCTGGACCTAGCAATGTGAGAGGGTACTATGGGCATATAGGGATGATTGCAGGCACCCCTGCAGCCCTCTCACTCTCTGAAGACCTACATGATTGGGAATAGCAGTGACTGGTTCTCGGTGTGGGAAGGATGTTGTCCATCTGGGGCCGATGTGCCCAGCGACCTTTTTCCTCTGACCCATGACTCCAAATGCCAGACTGCAGCAGGTCAGAACCAGCCCCATGCTTGTGGTTGTCCTGACTGTCAGGCCTTGCAGCCAGCTGCAGGTATTCATTGCAGGCCACCTGGGAAGAATGGACTCTGACTCCTGAAACGCCACCATGTCCCCAACAGCTGAGCCACTGGCAGACAGCCACTTAACACCACTGAGTCTTCCATTTAAGTATCTAATTACAATGCTAACTATGCACAGGGCCAGACCACTGCCCAGGCTGGGGGTGCCCCAGGTACACCAGCACCAGGACCTGCCCTGCCTCAGGAGCAGACAGGAAAGCTCACACCTTGCTTGGCTGAGGCTTGGAGGAAAGGTTGAGCTGACCAGACTCCAGAGGGAAGATGCTGTGTGATCCAGAGCTCCAGGACATCCTGGGAAGGGGAAGAAAGCAAAGCCTCAGCTGAAAGGGCCATGACTGTGGTGTGGAGCTCTGTGATTACAACCAGGCTGTCCTGGCGTGAGTAGCAACTATTAGCACCCAGATAGAAACAAAGAAGCAGCACCACTGTGGAAGAGGCGGAGCCTGCCTGGTGGAGCCTTTCCTGCACCCAGACACAGTGTCCCCCAGACCCAAGCCACAGGACCTGGTAGCCACCTGGCCCAGTTTTGGAGGCAGTGTCAGGCTCATTTTTGCAGCATGAGACAGGACCTGTAGTTGAGGACAGAGTTGGGGTTTGTGGCTCCAGAGCAGAGGCTGAGGTCAGAGGGTGGTGGGACTTGGTGCTCAGGAGAGCCTGACCCTGGTCAGAGGAAGAGAGAAGACATATGCAGGCCTGAGAGATCGAAGCACCAAGGTCTCCCACCGTCCTGCCACCCCCAGGCGTGGGGTAGCCCGACAGGCATCACATTTGGTAGGGCAAAGGTCTCAGCCCAGGAAGAGCCATGTGTCAGTGAAGATGAAGGAGCCAACAAAATCTACCAACAAACAGCTCTCAGGACAGGAAGCACATGCCCTCCATGCACAGGAAGATGGCCGGACCTTGCTGGGTGCAGGAGGCCTGTCCCTGTCCCCTGAAGCTGCTGGTGGGAGAAGGGCTGCAAGCACTCCATACTCCGTCTACACCACATGTGGGCACCTGCTCTTCTTGGGGGGTCAAAAGAGCCAATTCTGTTTTCTGTGGGTTTTCAGGACCTACTGAAGTGTGTTTGGCGTGGAGCCAGCCTACCTTTCATCCACCTGAGCCCCTGACGAATGACAGCTTACAGGCATCAGCTGCCGCACGGAACATGAGGAGGACCAACGCATAACATTGTGTGTCCCTGGAGCTCCCAAAGGGCCGTGTTGTGCTGCTGCTCTGAGATGAGCCTGGCTCCACAGCCTCCCTGAACTTCATGAAGGTGCGATCTCCGCAAATGCCCCGCAATCTGGGACCCAGGTCCTGTGCAGGTGCCCACACGGCCTCCTCCCAGCAAGGCTGAAGCTGAGCGCAGAGGTCTCTGGTTCTTCTGCTGTCTAACCTGTGGCAGCATCCAGAGCAGGCCTCCCAGAGCAAGGGACCCTGAACAGGGATCAGGGCAGGAACTCAGCTGTCACAGATGTAAGTGATCCCTGCCAGCTCAGGCATGAAGAAAGACAGACGCAGGATCGTGGAGAAGATCCGGGCAGGGTCTCCACAGCCTCTAGCTGGTGCTGCACTTGGGCTCTGGTGTTCACACATCCTCTGTCAAGGAGAGAGGAGCCATCCTCGGGGCATCTGGGAGCTTCTGAAGGACTGCTGGCTTAGGACAGGCCTCGGCCTTTCTGAGCACCCTGTGCACACTGAGCCCAGGGTCGCGGCTTAGGAGCACAGCACCACCTGGCCATCTCTAGGTTGGATAAGGAATCAGGAGGCTCAGAGCAGGGCTGTGTGCCCCGGCCTCCTCCAGCCATGCTGCCCTGAACACGGCTCCAGGCCGCAGAGTCCTGAATGCAAACTCCCGGGCTGGGTGCTGCCTGGGCCTGTGAGTGCTCGGCTGCCTCTCTAGGGAGCGGCATTGGGGGCCCAGGACAGGGCGTCCTCTCCTACAAGGTGGCCCCTCTCCCTGCCAGCCATGGGCAGGACCCTGAGGATTCCAGGGAACTGGCCCTCCGTGTTCCTGCAAGCTCTGTCATTCCAGGTGGTCACAGTCTGTGACACATTCTTCTCGTGTGCCCAGCGTGTTTGGCAGCTGTCATCCTCATGACCCTGGCTCCTATTGTTTGAACTGGGAGGGGAACTGAGTGTCCGTCACTGCATGGAGGGTGACCAGTGTAGGGTGCTGCTGGAGGCTGAGGGACCTGTCTGCCTCTGCTGCCAGAGTTTCCAAATCTGGAATGGGGACCACGGGCCAGTGACCAAGAGTGTGTCAGTCTGAGCCTCACCCTGGTGACAGGGCCGAAGGCTGCGGCGGTGCAGGCAGACTTCCAGTGCCGTGCTTCTTCTCCAGGTTCAGGGAGGGCAGTCTAAGCATGTGACATGGGGCTGCATACAGCCAACAGCTTCCAGGGTGCCTTCCCTGGTGCAGGGTCATCCAGTCCAGGCAGCCAACCCCAGGTACACCTGGAGAAACAGGATTGGGAGCCCGGTCCAGGCCACCTGGTGAGGGCGGGTGGGTCATGGTGATACAGGAGCAAAATATTAACTCCCAATCTACCTGCTGGACATCAGATATGCTGAGCTCATGTCCCCCCAAGTCATAAAATGGATTCTAATTAACAATGGAGGTTAAGAGTAGGGAAAATGTATCAGAGAGAGAGAGAGAGAGAGAGAGAGAGAGAGAGAGAGAGAACTTGAAAGTGGGTTTCTGTGGACCTCACTTTCCAGAGCAAGTAAGATTTATAGGCCAAAATCATGAGGTGGGTAAATATTGGCCAAAACTATGACCAACCAATAAGATTCCAGCATAGCCATTTAGGTAATGTAGTGCACACGGGGAGAACAAGGACCTCTTTAGGAAGGGATGGATCAGGGGGTCCTGGTCACCCACAAGGGGGCTGATGCTTATCTAGACTTTATTGGACCAGGTGAGTATAATCTGTAATTTATTGCTTATCCCTTGGGCAGGCATGTAGGCCTGGTCATTCCATCTTTATTTGAGGCCTGGCCTTTGATGGCTGCGCCTCTGGCCGCCTTGTGCTGTGTTCTCACCCTCTGCACTGGCTCCCTCTGGGGCGCGCCCTTTCTGACCGCCTGGAATGTTGCTGCCTAACGTAGCTGTCTGTAATACTGGGTCTCACCCCATGATCCACTGCCTCCCCCATCCCCCTTCTCCTCCCCAGACGGGGTCACTCTGCTCTTCCTGCTGCTCTCGGCCCAGCTGGGGTCTTGGCGTTTCAGAACAACCTTCCTCTGAGGTGCAGTGACGTCATGTCAATAATGAGACTACTCTGCTGAGAGACACTACACCACACATTGCTTAAGCTAGGGGAGTCACCCTCAAGCGTCACCCTCCAGCTGCTTTGAAATCCAGCTTAAGGCAGAAATCCTGGTCTCTTGCTTCCCATGTCGAAATGGAGCAGAAGGGCGTGGCCCATGCGGAGCAGGCTGTGGGCAGGGCCCCTTGAAGCCCCTGCAAGGGGACAGCGGTGCCTGTGAGATCTGGAGACCCTTCCTCAGGGCCTCTAACTGGGGAGAGGACCGCACCCCCAGGAAGGGGCCACGGCCCAGGTGCAGAGGAGGCTAGCTGGTGCAGGAAGGAAGCCAGGGCGAGCTGGACCCCCTGGGGCTGTGGTGTGGCTGCACCCTCTGCACAGGCGGAAGATGCTGGCCTGTGGGGTCCTGTCGCTAGAGCCAGCTTTGGACAGGCATCATCACTGCCAAGCCCTCTGGAGTGACTGGGTGGGGGGCAGGGAGTGCCGTGCAGGTGCCTCAGGGGCCTGGAATGAGGACCTGGGCCTGCTTCCATGGTGTGGCCCTGGGAGGGACCTGGTCTCCGCCCAACCCCTTTCCTCCCTGTGGGTCCCCCCTTGCTCCCTCCCACATCCTGACCTTGCTCCCCTGCCCGCAGTGTTCCACCTGTCCCACAAGGTCACCAGCGTCGTGCCTGAGAGTGCTCTGCTCATCGCGCTGGGCCTGGTGCTGGGGGGCATCGTCTGGGCAGCCGACCACATTGCCTCCTTCACAATGACACCCACGCTCTTCTTCTTCTACCTGCTGCCCCCCATCGTGCTGGATGCTGGCTACTTCATGCCCAACCGGCTCTTCTTTGGGAACCTGGGCACCATCCTGCTATATGCGGTCATCGGCACCGTGTGGAACGCAGCCACCACAGGCCTGTCACTTTATGGCGTCTTCTGCAGCGGCCTGATGGGTGAGTTCCCATGGGGTAGGCCAGGGTGCCAGGCAAGTGTGGAGGCCGAGGTGGGGTGCACAAGTCCCAGTACTCCTGAATCCCCCACTGTGTGTTGAGGTGTGGTCAGTGGGGGAAACAGCCTTGAGCGGGAGGAGACTGTGGACAGGGAAAGCTGTGATTCTGAGCACATCTACCCCTCAGGACTTATCCTCTCACAGAGTACTCCCTGAAGTGCCCCCATCATCCAGCATCTCTCAGACAGAGACTACCAGGGAGTATGGCTGGTGGGTGCTTGATGGATGGGGTCTCCCACCACAGTCCGTGCTGTACGTGGTCAGGGCACCCACAATGACGGTGCCTCAGGCTGGCTCAGCGACTCCTGGACTGATCCTAACAGCCCATGAAGGTCATGCTTCCAACACTGCTAGGTGTTAGCTGGGGCATCCCAGGCTCAGCTATAAGCAAAGAAGAAGCCTGAGGGGCTGGCCAATACATCTGTGTCCCTGATGCTGACCCTTTCCTGGGAAAGCACACATGTGGGGCTTCTCGCCCTACCTGGAAGATCCCAAGCATTGCTTTCACAAAGCCAGCGTCCTTATACTAAAAGGCACAGCTGAGCAGTGGCAAACATCTCTGTTCTTAAGCTCTATGAGCCTATTCTGCCACGCTGTCCTGCAGGACAAGTGTCATTGTCGTGCTGGTCACATAGGAGAGGCAGGGCCACTTCCCATGGTATACACAGACATGGGTGGTCTGCTCAGCCCTTGGAACACAGCTGGCCAAGGCTGGGCATTGGTTGACCTTTCTGGGAGGTGATGGAATGGGGTGGGCAGTAACCAGTCTCTTCAGATGGTGGTCAAATTTGGGAGTAACTACTGTATCTGCCTGGACCCACTGGGGAAGGGGCAGCCTGCGCAGTGCAGAGGGCTCTGCAGCCTCCTGGCCTGTAGTAGAGAGGAGAGCACAGAGCCTAGCCTGCTTCCCACTGGGTGCTCTTGGGAGGGCCGAGCAGGTGAATAGCTCATTCCCATGGGGGCTCACAGTGCTCCAGCAAGGAGCAGCTGATTCACGGGATGCACTGCAGGGTCCAGCAGAGTCCTAGAGCAACAGGCTGCCTGTGGTGTGGGCATCTCACTTGGCCTTCAATCAGTTTGTATCTAGAAGCCAGCAGGTCTATGTGGCAACAAGCAACCATGGGGCACTATGACTCTAGTTGGTCGCTTCTGGGTTTTAGGATGGAAAGGTATCTTGGAGTCCCCTGTCCTCCCCTGAGGACCCTCTCTGCAGAGCACTAATCTCCCAGCCAGCCTTGCATCTTGGCCCCAGGGGAAGGTGGTTCTGACCAAGCCCAGGAGGGAGTGAAGCCCTTGTGAGAACCCAGCCACCTTGACTTCCTGCGGATATCTGACCATGGGCTCCCTCTGGTTATCCCTGAGGGTCCCTAGCCATAGCCAGAGGCACCATGGGTGTCCCTTCACCTCTCCCTGGGGCCAGTGGCAGAGGCCAAGGACCCTGTGCCCTGGCTGCCTGGCTTTCATCCTGGTCAGGGACCATGTTTCATTCTTGTCCATGGCCGGCTTATCCTGCAGGCGACCTGCAGACCGGGCTCCTGGACTTCCTGCTCTTTGGCAGCCTCATCGCTGCTGTGGACCCAGTGGCTGTCCTGGCTGTGTTTGAGGAAGTCCACGTCAATGAGGTCCTGTTTATCATCGTCTTTGGGGAGTCATTGCTGAATGATGCTGTGACTGTGGTGAGCAACAGCAGGCCCTTGAGGCCCAGACAGAGTGTTTTTACTAAGGTTACAGGGAGGCCAGAGACCTGGGGCCCAGTGAGTATTGCTTACATCCCTGAGATCAGTAAGCAAGACCAAGGGATCTGCCATGCACAGGCAGCCCCTTGTTTGGCTGTGCAGTGGTCCCGGATGCGCCCTCTGGGCAGGTGCTTCGCCATCACTCTCACTAGTAGCACCCAGTGTGTGGTGCGTAGGTGGCCTGGCCTGTGCTCCCTCCGAACTCAGAGCTCTGATGCTTCCATCCTTCCTTTTGCTTCACTCTCACCACTGTGGACCGTCCCAGGTCAGGCTGCATGGCTGCTATCCCACAGTCAGTTTCACAGTAAGGACTATAAGTGGCGGATCGCAACTGGTTCCACCTCGTCCTGACTTCCTGAAAGCAGACAAACAACAAGGTTTCCTAGGGACAACATCGTCCTATGGGCTGCCAGGGCTTAAACCAGAGGCCCATTTCCCACTGTCCTGGAGGATGAAGCTTGAGGTCAGGGTTCAGGGCTGGCTCCTCCGTGTGGACATCGCTTCGACCCCGTGTTCTCACAAAGAAGGAAGATCTAACATATCTGTTCCCTGACCTCCTCTCCTCAAGAGCACCAGTCGGGTTAGGCTAGGCCCACCAGGTGACCCTTTCTACCTCAGTCATCTCTACAGAGGCCCCATCACACACACACACACACACACACACACACACACACACACACACACACATTTTGAGATCATGGGGTCAGGACTGAAGAAAGGAATTTAGTGAGCACATTCAACCCTCAAAGGAGTCAAGGAAGCCAAAGCTGCCATTTCTGTGGCTGTCTCCCCAGGGGCTGGCTCCACAGGCAGTGGGGGGCAAGTGCTCTGGGCCACAAGCTGTAGGTGAGGAGCACCTGCTACCTTTCAGTGTGTGTGGGGGGGTGTTTCACACCTGTCCCCAGGTTGTCCTCATGAGAGGAGAGAGGGGATGACTAGCGGTGTGGGGGGTACTTTGCAGACAGTGGACACAGGCCCTGAGGACATAGGTTTGCTCATAGTGACCACCAGCCCCTTGACCACTGACTTCCTGCATCCCCTCAGGTCAGGTCAGGACAGGACAGGACAGAGCTCTCAGTGCCTTCACCAGAGCTTGCATGGCCCTTAGGGTGGCTGGGAGCCCACTGAGACCTCAGGACTCAGCCAGCAGCGCCTACCTTCGCTTGGCCGTGTCCAGCACATTCTCTCACCATTTATCCCGCTCATCTTCTGCTGTCTTCCCACTGGCAGCCTTCCTTCTAAGGTTGGCACCACTGCAGCTCTACATGGGGCCCAAGTCCATGAGCCGGGCACTGGGACGTGGGAGGGCCCACCGTGAGCACAGACTAACCCAATGTATTACATCTTCTTCCTCCTCTCAGGTCCTGTACAATGTGTTTGACTCTTTTGTGACACTGGGTGGTGATAAGGTGACTGGTGTGGACTGTGTGAAAGGCATAGGTATGTAGCCGGCAGGCCCTGCCTCCCCACCTCAGGCCTGTCCTCTGAGGCTCTTAGATTCATAGCCCCAATCGAAAAGGGCTTTTCTACCATGCTGCTGTGCTGGCTGGCTTTCTGTCATCAAGGGAAAATACAGCCTAAAGGAGGGGAAGTTTACTTGGCTTCTGGTTTCAGAGGGTTCAGTCCATGCTGGGCTGGCTCCAAGTAGACACAACATGGCAGAAGGGCCTGGCAGAGGACAGCTGTTCACATCATGGCAGCCAGGAAGTAGGGGGGAGGGAGGGACCAGAGGGGAGAGAAAAAGCTGGCAGAAGAGAGTGGGGGCGCTGGGGGCAAGACCCTTTAGGTGTCTGAATGACCACTTTGTCCACCCGGGGCCCCCTCCCAACAGCTCCTCAGCTGTGAATCCATTGATGGGTGAATCAGTATATGAGATGATGAGCTATCATTGATGGGTTAATCAGCACCCTGTGATCCAATTTCCTTCTAAGAACCTCATCTGCAAACACACAGAACATGGGGTACAATTTGGAGCAAACCATTACAGTTGCAGAACTGGGCCCTGTGAACGCCCTTTTCTCAGACACCTCAAATGCAGTGTGGGTCTTGAGGGGTTCTGGGTGGCTCCCTGGGTAGGGACAATAGTCATCCTGGGACAGGACAGGTAGACAGCATCAGACAACACAGTGCCTGGTCCTCTCTGCCAGCCCAGCCACAGGGATGCACCTGGACAAGGTTCCCTCAGGGGGTCTGGGGTTCTCAGAGGCAAGGTGCCGTCCTCTGCCCCTTTATGCCCTGGGGCTGATTCCAAGATGGCACCCTCTCCCCAGAGGGCAGGGACCAGCTAGTTCCCAAGCTCTTGACCTCCATGGGCAGTTGCCAGGCAACCTCCACAAGAAAAGGCTAGGAAGGGCAGTCTAAGTGGTATGGCCTCACCCACGCCCTGCACAAAGGGCCATTCAGGCACCTCAGCTACACTCTGTCCCTCACAGTGTCCTTCTTCGTGGTGAGCCTGGGGGGCACGCTGGTGGGGGTGGTCTTCGCCTTCCTGCTGTCCCTCGTGACCCGCTTCACCAAGCACGTACGCATCATCGAGCCCGGCTTTGTCTTCGTCATCTCCTACCTGTCCTACCTCACATCTGAGATGCTGTCCCTGTCAGCCATCCTGGCGTAAGTCTCTGGGTGTGCATGGAGCCTGGAACTTAAGCAGCAGCCTTGCAGGCAGCTGGGCAGAGGCCAGGGACTCTGGGGCACCCCTAAAAAGCCAGTGTGGGCTTGCCCATGCTTCATGCCCAGCCATTCATACTCAACCCCCAAAGCAGAGAACGTGGGGTGGATACACGCTGCCCTCCTTGGGTCTGACATTTAGGGCACACTTCCAGCCGCCTGGCCCCTGAGCTGAGTGGAAATTTATTGTGTGGGTTGAGGAATTTTATTTATTTAATTTTAAATAAGGACTGGATGTTTCTGCCGAATTGTTGGCAGCCACAGAGCCTGCTGGGGGGTAGTCAGGGCCAGTGCGTTCCCAAGTGGTCTTGTGGGCCCAGGCCATCCGCTCAGGCATGCAGCCCTTGCCCAAATGGCGCTCCCTCAAGGCTAGCATTGCCCAAAAGACACCAATGGCCCGTGGGGTCATGGGCAGAGGCTACACAGACCAGTCGTTCTGGGTTCCCAGACCCAGGCTGAGGGCAGGGGGCAGCAGAGAGCACTTAGCTCGGGGCACCAGCCCAAGAGAAGCCAAGTCAGTCCACATGGTATAGGGCTGACCAGCAGGAGGATGTTGGCGCAGAATGCAGACACTGCCTACAACACCTGTAGCACCACCAGGCTGGTCAGGGCGGGGGCCTTGGAAAGGGCCCAGTCTCCAGGGGCAGCCCGCTGAGTAGCAGCCTCATGGCCTCACACCTGCCCCCAGAATCACCTTTTGTGGCATCTGCTGCCAGAAGTACGTGAAGGCCAACATCTCGGAGCAGTCTGCCACAACGGTGCGCTACACCATGAAAATGCTGGCCAGCGGGGCGGAGACCATCATTTTCATGTTCCTGGGCATCTCCGCCGTGGACCCCGTCATCTGGACCTGGAACACGGCCTTCGTGCTGCTCACGCTGCTCTTCATCTCTGTGTACCGGGTCATTGGTGAGAACTGGGACACTCAGGGACCACAGGTTCAGGGCACAGGGCAGCTCCCCAAAGACCAGCCTGGCCACCAACCCTGATGAGTGTCCAGGCCTCTTGGCAGCCTTGGAATGGAGGTGCTGGCTGAGGGTCAACCCTGGGACAAGGGCCCTGTAGGGCGTGTGGCCTCAGGCACCTGTGTCGTGCCATGGTGGGCCCAAAGCTGAGCCTCCTTTCCCACTGCAGGTGTCGTCCTGCAGACCTGGATCCTGAACCGGTACCGCATGGTGCAGCTGGAGACCATCGACCAGGTGGTGATGTCCTATGGTGGCCTGCGAGGGGCTGTGGCCTATGCCCTGGTTGTGCTTCTGGATGAGAAGAAGGTCAAAGAGAAGAAACTGTTTGTCAGCACCACGTTGATTGTCGTCTTCTTCACCGTCATCTTTCAGGTGCAGCTCGGCTACCAGGCGCTGCAGTGCCCCCTGTCCCTGCCCCCAGGGCTGTGGGACCAGTGTTTCCAGGCTGTGACCCAAATTGAATTTTGTAATTTTAGTAACTAGGAGCACTTTGTAGGTTTTCGTGTGGCCTCACAGGGGACGCAGCCCCGTTGTGTAGTACTCTTCCCACACAGTGGATGCACGGAGGCCCAGTTATCACTTTCTGGTGTCACACTGCTGGGCAGACTAGACCGGGCCCGCTGTGGCTTTGCACAGGGTGGGGCCCTGCCTGGCTGTGGGTCAGCAGGGTCATCTGTCTCCCAGGGCCTGACCATCAAGCCCCTGGTGCAGTGGCTGAAGGTGAAGCGCAGTGAGCAGAGGGAGCCCAAGCTCAACGAAAAGCTGCATGGCCGGGTAGGGTGGGGACGGAGGGGAAGGTGGGAGGGAGGAGCTCCACGAGTCACCAGCATGGCCCCTGCTTTGGCGGGGTGGCTGCACTGTCCTGTGACCCTTTGCTTTCCTTTTCTCCAACAGGCTTTTGACCACATCCTCTCAGCCATAGAGGACATCTCGGGACAGATCGGACACAATTATCTCAGAGATAAGTAAGTGGCCTGAGCCATCCAGACAAAATCCTAGGCCAAAATGGATACGGCCCGTGATGCATGCTGGTCTTGGCTATTGGTCTCCTACTCTTCCTTCCGTTGGTGTCCTAGATCATAGGCCTGAGGGCACAGGACCTAGACAGGGCCCTGTAGATGTGTCATTGTGACCCAAGGATCTCATGACCAGTTTCTAGAGGACCCTCATTCAACAGGGCCAGGCTCATCAGGCAAGCTGTCTGGGTTCTGGACTGACACTGCAGAGGATCACTGTGACCCAGACCTTCAGGTGCACACAGGTGAAAAAGCTGATGCCTGCAGAGGGGCTGACACTGTGGACACATCGGCAACGCAGATCTTGTTCCTGGGTAGAAAGTGACTCCTTTCCCTATGGCTGCCTATTTCCAAATTGTCAAATTTTGTGGGCATTGAACATCAGGAAAATAACTTCCCCTATTCTGTGAACTCAGGAAGGGTGTGTTACCATCCATCAGCATTTAAAATTACTTGCTCAAGAAACGGAACCATCTATTTCTATTTTATTCTAAAATATGCTTAACACCTAAAACTTTGCAACTCCAATAAGGAATTGAAAGAGTCAAACACATAGGCCCTGCTATATGAGATAGTCAACCACATTCTGCTAGGGCCAGCAAAGTTAGCACAAAGCCCAGGCATGCTAGCTCAGAGCTGAAACTAGGGCAAACAGACCCCTAACACCAGCCTTGCCTTGGGCCACCCTCTGAGGCTCACACGCCCTTGGAAACCTCATGGAGTCACACGAGAGGATGGTTTCCTTTGCATTCTACTGACCCCACCATCAAATGGGAGCAGAGTGGTGGGATGGTGCTGGTGGTGTCGTTGATGTCACCATAGGGTGTCTTGGGCCAGGAAACCCAGGATGTACAGGACAGTTGTGTGGTGGGTGCAGCTCCATAGACTTTTGTCCATCCATCCCTATCTCCAGGTCCTTGTGGGGCCGGAGCCCCAGGCCATCGGTGCTGATGCTGTGACTGTTTGTCCCCAGGTGGTCCAATTTTGACAGGAAGATCCTCAGCAAAGTCCTCATGAGAAGGTCAGCCCAAAAATCTCGAGATCGGATTCTGAATGTTTTCCATGAACTGAACTTGAAGGATGCCATTAGCTATGTGGCTGAGGTATGGGAATGTTCCATCTGTCCCTCTCCTAAAATTAGGAGACTGGCCCTGCTTTGGCTCCCAGGGTCTGATGACACAAGCGCTGTACCCGACTACCCCAGCTTGCCCTCAGGGCTCACAGTGTGTGGGATAGGACACAAAGGTGAAGTGCAGATCATCAAAGATCCCAGTCCACCCTCATGTCCCACCCTAGACAATGAGAAACCAGGCTACCCCCACCCCCGTGGTATACATGGGACCATTTTGTGGACAGTGCATTTGTGCACAGGCACAAATGTTGCTGTCACCTGGACCCTGTGGTTCTGACGCCAAGCTCAGGCTTAGGTCCAGGCTGCCCAGGTGCAGAGCAGTCCTCAGGTGCCTGCCAGGCCTCCTCTGGAGCAAAACTCACACAGAGGCAAACTCAGCCTTCTGAGAACCAGCATCCTGGAAGGGAATAGGAAGGGGCCTCTGGCGTCCTCTGCTTGCTGAGTCCTGTCTCTGGGGAGCTCTTTACCTCCATGCAGGTGACTGGACACTAGGCAGGTCCCGGAGCCAACCCAACCCTGACTCATGACCATAGGCTTGGGCTCTGCTCTTTCCACCAAGTTACTGGGGTGGTATAGGAGATAAGTCACCCAACCAATATATTGTGTGTTGACAGTCCCTTCTGGGTCTGAAGCCTAGAGATTAGAGGCCTGCTGGGGACAAGGCCATTTTCCTAATCTCCAGGTGTGGACCATGTTTCCCTAGACCCCCAAGTGCCCCTAGGCGGTTGTCCTGGGATGAACATGGACAGGGTAAACTTGCCTATCTTGGGCTCCATTTCTGTCTCCTGATGTCCATGGGTCCCCAAGCATGGGGACCAGGCCTGGCCTACCTGTAGGAAGTACTGCACATCCATCCTCCTTGTTGGCTAACTAGACACTTCTTGCAGGGAGAGCGGCGTGGATCCCTGGCCTTCATTCGTTCCCCAAGCACTGACAACATGGTCAACGTGGACTTCAGCCTACCCCACCCATCTACCATGGAGGCCTCAGTCTCCTACCTTCTGTACGTATTCCTGAGGCTATGCCTTGTTCATACCCCTTTGTCTTGTGTCCATGACCACATCCTCCCACATCCAGCCCACCCCTTACATGGGTTTCTTGGCCTGGACACAGGGTGAAGGGGTCCAGAAACAGAGACCAGCTTTGGCATCACACAGGTGACCCTCTTGGAGCAGGCAGCAAGGTTATGTTCTTTTGAAGCAGATGTAGGGAGGGATGGGATGGAGCTAGCATATGCAGTGGTCTGAGGCTCAAATGTATACCTAGACATGAAGTCAAGGACCAGGACCCGGCAGGTATGGGATTTCCATATACTGGCTAACAGCTGATGGCCAGCTCTGGCCAGTCACTGGTGCAGGTCTAAGAATAAGGAGAGCAGGGGGAAAGTGCTGTTGGGGTCTCAGGTAAGGCTTTGGAGGGAGACTTCAGGGCACCTTAAACAGGAGGTATCCAGGCTGCAATGAGGCCAGTCAAGTACAGCCTCATGCAGAAGAGGAGCCAGCCAGGGCTCCAGGGCTGGTCAAGAGCAGCAGCAACACCCAGGCCAGGTCCTAGCTCAGCATCTGTCTGTGCAGGAGGGAGAACATGAGTGCTGTGCGCCTGGACATGCAGTCCCTGGAGCAGCGGCGAAGGAGTATCCGTGACACAGAGGACATGGTCACCCACCACACGCTGCAGCAGTACCTATATAAGCCAAGGCAGGAGGTAGGCTCAGGTTCGCACAGCGCCTCTCCTCTACTAGGGTCCTCTCCCCGCCTGAATGCAGAGGTCTGGGCCGCTCCTCCTGACCGCCAGCCTGCCCCACCACCCTTTCCTAGTACAAGCACATCTACAGCCGGCACAAGCTGATACCTAGCGAGGCTGAAAAGCAGGACAAGGAAATCTTCCACAGGACCATGCGCAAGCGCCTGGAGTCCTTCAAGTCAGCCAAGCTGGGGATCAACCAGAACAAGAAAGCAGCCAAGCTGTATAAGAGGGAGCGTGCACAGAAGCGGGTAAGGGATCTGTTTGAGCAGAGTGAGGGGAGCTGAGTTAGGCAGGGCTCCAGACACAAGGCAGGGTGGGCATAGGGGTGGATGGGGTCTAAATGCAGGATGCATCTGTAAAGGCTCCAACTTGTTCACAGAGGAACAGCAGCATCCCCAATGGGAAGTTGCCCATGGAGAACCCAGCCCCTAACTTCACCATGAAGGAAAAAGGTAGGGTGCGGTATGTGGGTCACAGGGACAAGCCTTTTCTTCCTGAACTCCCTGGTCTAGCCACAATGTGGTGCCTCCTCCTACAGTTGGGCCAACGGAACAGAGGGCGGCTCTGCCCCTACCCAACCCACCTCAGTCCCTGACTACTGGGCTACCCAGGTGCTGCTGGGTCATGGAAGCCATAATGACAACCCTGGGGGTGACCCTGGCTGCTAAGGACCCAGGACAGTCTAGCTCCAGCCCACTTCCCTCCTCTTGTTCCCTGCTCCAAAGATTTGGAATTTTCAGACCATGAGGAGGCCCCAGATTATGAAGCTGAGACCAGTGGGGGCATCGAGTTTCTGGCCAATGTCACAAAGGACACAGCCTCAGACTCTCCAGCAGGTGAGGGACACTGGGGATGGGGGGCACCTTTGGTGGCAACAGAGCCCTAGCTGTGGTGCTGCTTTCTCCACCCTGGCAAACTTCCCCAGGGCTGGCAGCCCGGCAGACCAGGTCTCTGTATCCAAGGACAGGGAAGGAATAGGGGTTAGGGCTGAAGGCTTGAAGGCACAGGATGGACCATACAGGTGGCCTTGTGGTAGTCACAGAAGGAGCTTCGGTTGGCCTGAACCAAAGTGTGTTCCCCAGCCCTGTTGGGCCTCCTGTGAGGCTAATAAGCACTGCCCTCTCTCCTAGGAATTGACAACCCTGTGTTCTCCCTGGATGAGGACCTGGATCCCAGCATCCTTGCCAGGGTGCCACCCTGGCTGTCCCCTGGGGAGACTGTGGTGCCCTCCCAGAGGGCCCGTGTGCAGATTCCCCAGTCTCCCAGCAACTTCCGCCGCCTGGCACCCTTCCGCCTCAGCAACAAGTCGGTGGACTCCTTCCTGATGGCTGACAGCCCTGAGGAGCGACCCCATGCCCTTCCTGAATCCACACACATGTAACTGGCACCCCGTCTAATGCCTGTTTCTCTGATACTTCCTCCAGGGCTCTCCTGGACCTGCACTCTCTGCCTCTCTCCAGCAGCTCTTCCTCCTAAATCCCCAGCTTCCATTGACTGCAGATCTCGTAGGGGATGCTGAGGAACCAGTCTGTCTCTGCTTCTCCCGTTAGGACACAGGGATCCAGAGGGCCTGAGGGCATTCTCAGGTTGTCTAGTGAGAATTCACTTTCAGACTATCAGCTGAATCACAGGGGGTCCTGTGTGGTCCACTTGAACCTCACTCCAGCCCAGAAGCACAGGGCAGGAAGGGCAATGTGCAGGAAAGGGTCCTGAAGGTTATCCAGGCACAGGAGCAAGCATGCCCAGGACAGAGGCAGTGGATCTCTTCTATTTCTTACACATGGTGCAGGGAAGGTGCAGGAGTGGCTGCCCAGCACCCTTGCTGGGGCTTCTGCAGGGCTAGACCCAAGAGGAGGTGAGGAACTTGCAGAGCCCTCTAGCGGCAGGGTCTTGGGTCATTCCAGGTTTTCCTCTGGGGGCTCTGTGCAGAAGGGAATTAATGTAGATGGTTACATCTGGCCCCTGTCAGGTGTCAGGCCCTTAGAAATGAGGGAGGTTTTCTACCTGGTGGACACTGGTGGAGGCCATGGGGACCGTACAGCCGGGGGTACCCACTACTGTCCTTCCGCCTGTCTCTGTTCTTACTCTGGATCCCCCACCCGTGTCCTACTGTCCTCGGAGTGGTTGCTGCGTGTGCAGAGGGATGGGCGCCGTTGAGGGCTGGCCTGGAGTACATCGCAGGGCACCTACAGGGACCACCCTCGCCCTGGACGCCGTAGTGCCTTGGCCTCATGCTTTGTACCCCACAGGTGACACCGGCTCCGACACGCCACTGACCGGAGGTTCGTCCCCGCGCCGAAGTCTGCCCGCTGCCCCGCTGCCCCCACCCTTGCCACCTGCGAGTCTCGCGCAGTCTGCTCGCACTTCAACACCCGGGACGCATGCACGGTCAGCAGCGGCACGGCGCGTGCACAGCAGGCGCTCATTCCAGCGACCGCGTGCGCGCCGCCGCCCAGAACTGCGCAAGCTGGCCTCGCTGCAGCCGCCGGGCCCCGAGCTACCGCAGCTGGCGCTGGAGCAAGAGGAGACGCCGCTGTGACCAGGATGCCGTGCCCGGCGGGGCTGCACCGACTCGGAGTCCGGGCATCCAGGCCGGGGTCACCCTTCGTCGCTGCTGGGCTATTGGGTCGCCGGCTTATCCGGAGCCAACCGTCCTTGCGCACCTTGGGTTGTGAGCGATGGCCAGAGAGGTGGGAACATGGGCGCCACGGTTCTGTGATCCCAGTCACCCTCTGGCTGGTGGCATCTGTTGCGTTGGTATCTTAGCTACGGCGTCCCATCCTTATCCGGGTCGACAGCGGCATACAGCAATTCCGGACCTCAGGACAGCCCTGTCCCCAGACATCTCAGCCAAACTGTTCCTCATGCCGCCCTGAGGTAGTGGCCGAAGACCACAGGGCTGGGTGGGAGGAGGAAGGACCCAGGTAGCCTGTCGCAGCCAGTGTGGGCTGCCCTGGGTCCCCTGAGATCTTTGCAGGTTAGGCCCAGGACGGGGAGGGACCTGGAGCTTGAGCCTCCAAGGAGAATGTGGCAGCACTGCCCTGTGCTTGTCCTGGATGTCCTCCCACTGCCCCCAGGGCTCAGGGATGTGGCCTTGGACAGCCCTGCCCTTAGAGCAGTGAAAAGCCGGCCACCTCCAATCCTCAGAGCACGGGCTGAAGATTGCCAAGGTCACTGAGGAAACCCAGAGCGGCTGAAGGCCCTCCTGGTGGCTTTTTGGAAACAAACCACTCCCAGCTGTCTGCTCAGGAAAACTAAACCCCGTCTCAGGGTCCAGGCTGACAGCTCACATTCTCAGGGTTCAGAAGGGGTTGGCAGCATTTGGTGTTAATGCCACAGTGAGTCCCAGACAGCAAAAGCATACATTTCCTCTTCACAACAGCACTGTCACTGTTGAAAGGGACCAGTTAGTCTGCTGAACACCAAAGCCTCTTGGCTTCTGCCTCAGGGCTACTCCTGACAGGAACCCACCTGCTGTCACTGAATCCCAGCTCAGTCCTCTTGAGGAAATGCAGCACTTCTGGTTTCTAGGAGCTGCTCTTAGAGAGATCAGCCAGCAGCACGGACAGCTGGCGCAACTTGGGAGCCTTGCCCAGGATGCTCCAAGAGGCGGGCAGCCACCAGCCTGCAGCCAAGTGGCTAGCCTGCTCACAGCAGGAGCTGCCTTAACCTACCCAGGCCATGAGATGCAGGCTCTGATTCCCACTGCAGGGGCCAAAGGGCCAGGTGGTAAATCTGGGACAGATACCCCTTGATGCTCCATACCGGTGTCTCTGAGGGGGGCAGCTTTGTCTAGGCTGGAACCAGAGTTCAGACAAGGAAGCAACTGGTCCTGAGAATCCACCTCACACCCTTGGAGAGCACCATGGCCACGTTTCAGACAGGAGAACCTTGTTGTTGCTGTCACTTGTAAAACAAAAATGTAAACAGTCCATGAATGTATTTCCTTATGGAAGCTGTTGTAAAAATTTTTGTTAGGAGAGTATTATTTATTTAATACTGAACTTTGGCCTACTTCGTGGTACTGTATGTACACATTTAGAAACTTGCTACTTCTCACTTCTGTATTTTTCTTGAAAATAATTTTGTTACAATGTTCATTGTACTGTATATCAATTGTCTATTATGAAAAATTTTGTCCGAACTGAAATTGAGGTGGATTTTTTTGAGTGGTGAAGTGGGAGTGTAACTGGCCAAACCTTTGATTTTGATCACAAGGTGATGTGCCTTAAGATGTCCCTCCACATACACGGTGGCAGCACCTGCACACAACCTCCAAGACTGACTGCCGGACCAGCTCTATTAAAACATTTCAAGACATTTGTGTGAAAACTATAAATGAAAACCCCAGGATTTACAGAGCAGTCTCCCATAGCAGGAGTTGCTCCACACTGAACCGAACACTGACACAGTACTGCATGTCCATGCTGCCACGAGGTAGCCCTGGTCACTGTGAGGAAGCCACTGGGCACAGCTATGAAGTCACCTACAGCCGTCTTAAGCCAGTGCACCAGAATGCGACCTCAGTAGGAGGCTCACAAGGTCACAGTTGTGATGAAGGTGGTCCTCTGGTGGCTGCTGGCATCTCTGGCACGTAGACCCCTCCTTCTTATCTCCACAACACGCATCCCCTCCCACTGTGTCCCCCCACGATGCCTACCCACTCCTCTGTGACTTCATCTCAGTCACACCTGCACCAATTCCATTTCTGTACAAAGCCACATTTCAGGGGATTAATACCTCAGCGCTCTTTTCAGAGTGTGTGTATGGATACAATCTGGCCTGTCCCAGTGGGAAAGGTGGGCAGTGGCAGCTCAACCTCTTTGGACCTGGCCACAGGTCTGTGCGGGGCAGCTACAAGCAGGGGGCTCACCTACCATTGTACTAGCAGCCAGGAAGAACTCACTAGACCAAGACCAAGGAATTCTCTAGGGTTGGTGGACATTGTTCTGCTAGTCTGGTGAGGATGGACTCAGCCGTGGAGCATGGGGCTGCAGGCAGTTGGGGCTGTAATACTTGGAGGCCAGGATTCAAGGACAACTGCCCTCTACATGGCTTCTGTCTGGTGGTAGCCCCATGCGGCACCTGCAGGAAGCAGAGGGCAGCCTTCCTCACAGGATGGGCCTGCCCAGGCCTGCACACAGGTGTCCCCTCCTGAGCAGCTTGGAGATGACCTTCCTCTGGTCAAGATGGACACTGCCCATCTGCCAGGAATAGACAGTGCCCTTCCCATTGCTGCCAGCACTTATGGCCTCTAAAGATACAGACATGAATGCACTTCTGTCTAGCCAGAGAGCCAGCGCTCAGTCATCGGGGCCTGCACAGACCATGGCCTACATCCAAGCAGACAGGAGCCAGTTCTGTACTGTATGTGATGACGGTCAGCATGGCGGGTTCCAGTTCTATTAAGTCGCACCCACTGCAGGCCAGATGGAGAAGGCAGACTGTAGCAGCAACTGGATGTCACTAGGGTGGTGTGGTCTCTTCTGAACCTCTTAGCTCACTCTCCAATCTTCACTTAATTCTACTCCAAGACAAAGGCCTATTTGTGAATTATCCTTAGCTTGTGAGGATGAAACAAAAGCAGGACATTAGCTGTGCCATCTCAAAGATGGAGGATGACACAGCACTGCTGCATGCTCCGAGCGGAATGCAGCTCACACCGTCAGCACACCACATCCCCAGGACGTGTCCTGCCACGCTCTCCACCTCTCCTGACTCTAGAGCCCTGAGGACGGAGGATGACCCTCTGAGTACACAGGGGTTGGGGGAGAGGGACACAGGCCATGTCTTTTCCCATCATGCAGCTGCTGGCACTGCTCTGCTGAACAGGTGTGCAGAGTCTGCAAGGGACAGGGGCTCAGTGCCCACTCTGGGTACAATTCTCTTAGGTAGCTTAGCTTACAAATTACTGTGTGAGACATGGTAGTGTACACCTGTAATTTCAATTACTCAGGAGACTGAGGCAGGCAGACTGCAAGCTCAAGGCCAGTCTGGGCAATTTTGCAAGATCCTGTCTCAAAAAGAAGGGCCAGGGATATAGCTCAGCGGGTAAGTGCCTGCCTGGTAAGCACAAGGTCCTGAGTTTGAACCTCAGTACCACAAAGGGGGGGGGCGTGCTGCAGAGCAGTTCCATGGTAGAGCGCTTACCTAGCATGCATGATGTTCCACCACCACCAAAAAAAAAAAAAAAAAAAAGAGAGAAAAAGAAAAACATAACTGCAAAGTGATGCTACTACTGAAGGCAGATACTATAAAGCAAGGCTGAGTCAGGAAGAATTACTTTAGGGATTTTGCATCACAATTCAGCATGACATATAGATCTTGAAACATATTCCCAATATTTGTTTCATGCCCATTTCTATTGACGTGCTGCTAGCACTGTCTATCCTTGTGTGCCTGAAATGGCCAGCACTGGCCCTGGGGCTCTGGGTGGCGTTCCCTGTGTCCAGCAGGTGAGCTGCTCCTCTGTAATGAAGACCAGAAGCTGACCTAGGGACAGTCAGGAAAGCCAGGGTGAAGCTGGGCCCGGCAACAGCAGCTTCTGGGAATGGCACATGACCAGGCAGAAGCTGCCTGGCTTTTGCTTCTTTTAATCAGGTAGCAGAGGCAGTTGGTTCAGACTGAGCTCAGCCACCTTAACCCTTTAAGGAAGAGCAGGATCCTAGGATAGGGTCACAAAGGACTGAGTATGTGCTCTGGGCAGGAGGCCTGTAATGGAGTAAGAGACACCCACACACGTTTCCCACAAGTGACCAAGAGGCTTTACACAAAGACATCTTCACAAAGCACATTTACATCAGGGAGGAAAAACCCACAGACCCAGACATCCAGGAGCCACCCCACAGCCCTCACCCCCATACACTTGGGCATCTGAGATCGGCACATTGTAGCTAAGACCACCAGCGGTGGCCCTGGAGGGGACATTCGCTTTAATATGCTTCTGGAAGTAGGGACACGATGCCTCAGACACGCACAAGCAGATGGCCAGTTACTTGAGGAGCTTTGCCACATTCAGACTGGGCACAACAATCTCCCTGAAGAGGGGCACGTAGTTGGGGTTTGCCTGCGTAGAGCCCTGTTCTAGCGACTCAATGATGGTCTGCTTCATGTCCCGGCTGGCATCCCCACGCATGGCCAGCAGTGCACCAATGTGGTCCTCCCTGCGGCAGAGAACAGAGGCATTAGCGTTAGTCTACACAGCTACTCTCACTTGACCCCCCAAACAGGCAACCCCTCAGAGGTAGGTGTGGATATGCAGACAAAGGAACCTTGTCCCTGGTTTTCTTCGTACTGTGGCCTTTCTGCATGCGCCACCACACAAGGCTTTACACATGCGTTGAGAGTCCCTGGATTCAAGGATGGCCCCTCTGGGGGCATTTAGCTCAGGAGCTCACTCTTCCCCTCAGCAGAGCTGAAGCAGCAAGGAGTTGTTCAGACTGAGCTCAGCCATATTAACCCTTCAAGGAGGGGCAGGATCCTAGGATAGGGTCACAAAGGCCAGGCCAAGGCCAGGCCCAACACTGGGCAGGGGGACATGAGTGCCACTTACCTCAGCCCAACATCAGGGACTTCAGGTTACGAACGCAGAAGGGTGTCCGGGCATATATGGCATACAGACTCCCTTCCTTAGGTCCCATAAGTATTACAGGACAGGGTTTTCTAGAACTACCTGTCTGGCTGCCCCAACTTTCTCCACCAAACCCATCACCGCCCCACACTGACAGCTAGACGGTACCCCAGACGTCTGTCCACTCAGGCTGAGGCCTGTGCACCTGGTAGGACGGGGTGGGCAGAACACTGCACAGAAGTCATGCTGCTGCCCTCCCCTCCACAGCCATCGCCACAGCCACCCTCCGCCACATACCCAGCTGGTGCCAAGGGCTGCCCCTTGGCCCTATGAGCACGCAGCTCATCTTCCCAGCTCCCTGGCCAGCTCACCAGGAAGATGCACAGTGGTTACCTGATGTCTGGATACTTGGTGACCAGAGTTGAGAACTCCAGGTAGAGCAGGGAAGGGTCTGTTAGCTTAATAACCTCTGCCACAGCAATAATGGTGTCACAGTAAGCATCCACGTCTTCGCCAAAGCCCTGGAAGACAGCACAGTGAGGGGTAGCCTTGCTACTGCTCGAGAGCAGAACCACAGCTTCATTCTAACTGCCCCAGCCCTGCCCCTTGCTGTGCGGGCACCTCGACGCTATGGAAGAGGGTCCTCACCCAGCCTTTTAATAGGCACAGTAGAGGCCTGAAGTCAGGTCAGAGTGGCAACCAGGATTTCAGAACAGGAGAAGGGCGGGGAATGAACAGGAAGGTAGGTATTATGACAATGAGCCACGGGGCTACTGCCTAATAAATCAACTGCTGCCACTAATGGCATGAGTCTCTTGGTGATGCATTTTATCATCCCCAGAGCCAGTCGGGCTCTGAACCCAGACCCTGCCCCTAACAAATAACTTATCTACGGCTGGGTCCTTCTGTGACTGTTTCCCACCCACCAAACTGCACATCCCAGGGCGGAAACCAAAAATCAGCCAAGAGACCACAGGATTCTGTGTCCACATGACTAGCGCCAGTGCCACTAGCCATGCCTGCAACTCACAGACGCTAGCTTCCGGAACAGGAAGCACAGCTGCTCGGCCTCCCGGACCATCTTCTCAGCACCCTCCTTGCGCTCCTCAGGGCTCCGGAAAGAGATGCGCTTCTGCATGACAGCCCGCAGGTACTCCACTACCACGCGCCGGTGTGCCTCGGCCGTCATCCTCTGGCAAAAACATACTGAGCTGCACCTCTGCCATCCTGGAGAGCCACCAGGTGAGCAGCTGGAGCACACTGTTTTCATCCATATAGGAGGGGATTCTGCAGAGACTCTACTAAGCACATCTGAGATGTCACCATGAGCTTCTGGCTACTTCCCATAAGCTGGCAGGGAGCGCACCAGGCACTGGCTGGGGGCTGTGCTGATGTTTTCATTCTAGGCAGCTGTGGGCCACACACAGAGCACAGCTCCGGGCAAAGGCCAAGCCATGTCAGGAGGAGCACATTCTGTCCCTGGAGGAACATCTCCTCAATGTGAGCATGGTTGGAGGTCACAAATATAGTGACAGTGCCACAGCAAGGTTTGTGTGAGCAGGTGGCACCTGTGTACCATGTCAGCACAAGACACCATGCTCTACCACAAGGTGGTACCTGCCCAGCCCGAGGTTGTCAGACATTGACTGAAAACCAAAATACAAATACTTTAAAAAATGCAAATGAGTACAAGCAAGAAGAAACAAAACTGACTAGATTAAGTTTGAAAATAATTATAATTTATTTTATTTTATTTTTTGTGGAACCAGGGATTGAACTCAGCCTTTACGCTTGCCAAGGAAGCGCTTACTCTACTGAGCCATTTCCCCGTCCCCTCAAATTATAATTTAGACAAAATGTAATTGCTAAAATATATGCAGATAAAACTCCATTCCAGAGTAGGTTTATAGCCAACTTTCAAATAATTTTCATACGATGGGGTAAAGAAAGATTTCTTAAACAAAAAAGGGCATTAAAATTAAGGGCAGCATTCCTCCAAAAAAAAAATAATAATAATAATGAAAAGAGGCAGAAATTACTAATCTCAGACTGCTTTACACAGCTCACACTAGGGGTCAAACTACACAGATTCACCCTCCCATCATAGAGGCGAAGTCTAAGACAGGTGAGTGGGCTGGGTCCTCTGAGACCTCTCTTCAGGTGCCCTGAATGGTGGTCTTCCTGCAACTGTGTCCTTGCCTTCCCTCCGAAGGACTGAAGCCTCCTCTTCCAATGGACTGAGCCTCTTCACATTAACTGCTTTTTTAGAAACACTACCTTCTAGTACAGCCTCATTCTAGGAACAGGAGCCAGAACTTTAACATTTTGAAGGAGACATAATTCAATCAATCACAGAAACACAGAAGGGAAGAGAAACACAACACACACAGCCAGGTAAAAACTCATTTCAGTGCACACACAGAAATCCTACAAGTAGGGGCCGGGGAGATAGCTCGGTAGAATAAGCACTTGGTACTGAAAAAAAAAAAAAAAAGAAAAGAAAAAAAAAATCCTACAAGTAAATCAGAACTTTCACAGACATCCTAGATTGTGGCAACACCTCATAAAAGAGGAATTCCAAATGATCAATCAAGTAAGGGCCCTGGGCACCACTGATAAGGAGAGAGGCGCCCATTTAAACCACAATGAGAGGTCTCCAGACACAACCAGCAACCACAAAGCCCCAGTGACCTGCTGCTGCCCAGAGAGGGCTCCAAGGCTGGACACAGGCAAGACCTCCTGGCAACGCTGCATTCAGCCTCACAGCTCTGCAAGAAACCACTGAGCATGTCCAGCATCACAGCGAGCAGGAGATGCTGAGGTGCCCCACGGCCCCCTCAGGTGGTCTGACAGAATAAGCACACTGTGTAAAGCTTGAAAACAAACACCACTATAGAGTGTGTGTGTGTGTGTGTGTGTCTGTGTGTGTAGCACCCAGTCCCTTTGCACACCCTAGGCCAGCACTTCCTGCTGAGCCACATGCTCCCACTCCCCTGACCACACATTCTTCTTAGGCAACACATTCAGCTAAACAACTACAATGAAAGGTGAGTGAGCTCCTGTTCTAACTTCATACAACCTCGACCCAGATGCTAGTGACGCAGGTGTTACTCATGATGGTGACTCGGAGGCTGTGTGTCTGGTGTACTCATAAAAGAGTGGATCATGGGTAATCAGAGAGCACACTGTTCACGCTGAGAATGACCAGGAACCAGCCACAGACACATGAAGAGTAAATGCACAAGCCTTAGAAAAATAGAGCTGACCAAAACTGATCTAAGAAGAAAAAGAACCATCTGCAGCAGGCCTAGCGGCATCCACCCACACCAATGGCACCATCTGCAGGTCTGGGAGCTTCTGCCGGGCTCAAGCACAGCACAGACAGCTCTCCTCAGTCACTGTTAGGCCACTGCAAGCACAGTCACTAGCTGGAGGAAGAACCACCAGGGAAATCCCAGAAGGGGACTGGACAATGAAGCCCAGTAAAGTATGAGAGAAGGCCATCACCGACAAACTCACAGCCACAGAAACAGCTTGCAGCACTCCATCCAGTTTAGGACAAAGTACTGCAACTACCTCAGTAGGTGCCAAAATAGCACTTAGCAAAATAAACCCAGACAGTAGTAAATGAAACCCAAATTTCACACGTATCAGCCCTAGAAGTCAGGAAGAGAAGGGTTCTCCTCAACCTCAGGAAGCACGGTCACCACAGCCCCACAGCAAGCACGCTGCTGTGTGCCAAAAGACAGGAAGCACGTGAGGCGCAGGCAGCACTGAGGACTCAGTGGCCACTCTTTTCAATTTAAGACATTTATATCTGCCAATATTTTCCACATGCAGCACACACAATACACACAATGTATTCACACATCACTCACACACATAGCCTCTTTCTGGACCCAAGGCCCTCCTTCTGGCCAGGGTAGAGGACGAAGACGACTTCACCACCAGGTGACAACAGGCCTATGGTTTCCCTCAGGGCTACTGCCAGGGCTGCCTCTTCTGAAGGCCCTCTGTAGTATGTACCTAGACTCATCCACACTGGGGTAGTGCACACTGGACTCACATTAGAAGCTTGGGGGGGAGAAGCCACTGGACAGGAACGGGCCCTGCCCACAAGCTGTTGAGTGGTGCCTGAAAGCTCATGTCCCTGTGCCACTGAGGACCCACCACCAGTCCAGAGGCTAGCTCATCAGAACTGTCTACATCTCTGCTTTGGCTGAAAACTAAAGTTAAGAGAACCCTGGGGCCATCTCTGCACCAGCTGCAAATATACCAGGCCCTGGAACATTTTGGCCAGAAGTTTGCTTTTACTGTGCTAACAGCTAGCTAGAGGTAGGGGTTGGTTGCAGCACTCTCCCCACAATCTCTGATAAGAGGCCTCCTGAGAGCAGTCAGTGGTCATTTAAAGTGCCTTTTAAAGGCAAACAATCAGGGTCTGAACAACAAAAAAGCACAAAAGGTGGAAGGATCAGAAATGAAGACAGTGCGCAACAATACAACTCATAGGTGCAACGCCTGCTCACATAGAGCTCACAAAGGGGCTCAGGGACTGAAGGTGGGGTCAATGAGGAAAATGCATGACGTGCCAGGGGTGCGGCAGATCTCAAACCATTTCCCCCTAAAATCCAGAAATCAGTGATCAGAAGCTAATCCTGAAAAGTAACACTTTTGCTAACAACAAACAAGGCACTCGAGGCCTGGATGAGGAAAGCACAGATATGGGGACACCACGATGACCAGGTAGGAGTCCTGGTCCCCAGGCTGGTGTAACCTCTGCATGCAGCAGGTGACTGGACATTTCCTCTGCTGCCAGCAGGTGTCATAGTGCCCACTGGACCTGTACTGCCCATCCATGGACATTGACCTCAGCCAAGAGTGTGCTGGAGTCTGAAAGAAGCTGCTGTTTCTCCTCGCTGGCCTTTCTGGGGACCTTAGGTCTACCAATATCCCCTCACGCACAGAGGTCCCAGGTCTGCAGCCTGTCCCCCTCGATCCCCAGTGGAGGCTGAGTGGGTTCCAGGCAGGGCCAGAGAACACAATCACTTCCCTTAGGAGCCTCTGCCTCCACCTACCCATCACCAGACCATATGACACCAATGCCACCTACCTCCCCTGGGTCCATCACAACCATCAGTGGAGCTAAAGTGACAACGCAATCTAAAGCCGACATAAGGGAGGATGCAGGGTGCTATGCCTTACCTTTTTATATGGCCTTTTAATTTTGGCAAAATCATTGAAATAGTCTTCCACAGTGACACAGATGGTGTCCACAGCGTTTGAGCCTACCAGCCACTTCTTTGTCATCAGTTCATTCAGATGTTGCTGAAAATCAGAGTTCACAGAAATCACCATTTTGAGTGACACTTTGTACTTTAACAGATTTATACTACATCAACTTTTGTGATGAGCTTCACAAAGTGACAGATCAGACATGTAAATATCTGTGCACATATGTATTTTACCTTTAATGACAACATTCATTAAACATGGATACTCCATAGCTTACTCAATTCTCTACTGATGGATGTTTCATATTTTTCCTATTTTGCAATTTTAAATAGTGCTCCAGTAAATCTGTATAATTTTGCAAGTGAAATTAAAATAGAATTCGTCAGTCAAAAGTGTATCAATTAGAACTATTAACTGTATTTCCAAACTGCCCTGCATAACTGTACCAATTCAGCTCTACATAGAACACAACATATTTCTCCTGTGCCTTCAATATCAACATTTTTTAAATTCTTGTCTCCTGATAAACAACAAATAATATTCAGCCTTAATCTGTGTTTCTTCACAATAAACTTGGGCTATTTCGCAAACAGGGCTCTGGCATTTCCTTTTCCATGAAGAGGTCATTCATATCTTCTTTTTTTTTTTTTTAAACTATGTTCTCTTTTACATTTATAGTCCCTGCTATGGTTTGTATATAGATGTCCACTCAAAGCTTTGTGCAGTTGGCGACAGCATTTTTTGGAAGTTGCTGAATCTGAATGTGTGAATTAAATCGTATTACAATGCTGCAATTAAGGATGAGTGACTTCCTGATCAATCCACAGATTGGACTGGCACTTCCTGATCTTTTTTTTTTTTTGCGGAACTGGGGATTGAACTCAGGCCCTTGCACTTGCCAGGGAAGCACTTATTCTACTGAGCCATCTCCCCAGTCCCCTTTTTTAAATTTTTTTTTATTTTTTAAAGAGAATACAAAGTAGTAATAAGACAGAAAGATTACAAATGATACACAATTCCACTAAACAAAATAACATGAATTTCACAGTATTTGCTGTATTACATAGTACTGTCTTCACGCTAGTGTTCATATTACCAGATATATGCATGCAAAATAGGAAGAAAAAAAGATGTAAGAAAGTAAGGAGAAAAAGGAAAAAGAATTTTAAAAAGAAGACATAACAAATTAAGGATTAACTGTTCCTTTCCACCAACCAGCAGAAATGTACGGTACAGTTGTCCAAATCATCTTGCTTACATAGATACATCTCTACCCCCATTTCCTCTCCTGTCCTTCTCAACTCAGTAATTTTTTTTTTTTTTTTTTTTTTTTTTTTTTTTTTTTTTTTTTTTTTGGCACAAAACTGGGGATTGAACTCAGGCCCCTGCATTTGCCAGGCAAGAGTAATTCCTTCTTTTTGAACAGGTTCACTCCCTTTCTCCAGTATCTACTGTATCTTTCAGATTTTATTTTCTCCTTCAGGTTCTTACACTATGGAAGTAATACGATGTCTGCACATATGGGTTTGATTTATTTCACTTAAGAATATAGACTCTAGTTGCATCAATTTGCCAACAAAAGCCTCAAATTTATCCTTTATAGCTGAACAATACTCCATTGTGTAAAAATACCACATCTCCTTTATCAGTTACTCAACTGATGGGCATTTGCATTGCTTCCAAAATTTAGCTGTGACAAACAGTGCTGCTATAAAAACGGGTGCACATATATTGCTGTGATATGGTTTTTAGTTTTTCTGGAAAAAATACCCAGCAGGGGAATTAGCTGTGCTGAATGGGACCTCCAATCCTAGCTTTCTGAGGAATTTCTACAGATTTCCATAGTAGTTGCACCATTCTGCACTCCCACCAACAGTGGAGAAGGGTTTCTTTCTCCCCACAGCCCCTCCAGCACTTGTTATTGGTTGGCTTCTTGATTACAACCATTCTTTTTGAGGAGAGATGGAATGCCAGTGTTGTTCTAATTTGCAATTCTTCCTCTAAGAGGTATGTATTTATTGCAGATGCCCATTTTGATTTGGTCTTTGAATTTTAGGGGCCTGATTTTTAAAAATTCTTTATGTGTTCTAGATGGAAGGCCTTTGTCAAAGAGTAAGTTATAATTTTTTCCCAGTTTATGGGTTTTATTCTGCTGTTAATTTCTTTTGAAGTGTAGAAACTTCTCAAAAAGATGAGATCCCAGTTGTTAATTCTCTGAAATCTGTGCAATGTGGTTTTCGTTCATAAACTCTATACCTACCCTTATGTCTTTAAGATTTCTACCTACATTTTCCTCCAGAAGATTTAGTGTTTCTGTTTTAATGTTTAACTCTTTGATCCATTTTGACTGTAGTTTAGTGCATGGTGACAGACTTTGGTCTAATTTTAGCCTTCAGCATGTGGAAAGCCAGTTTTCCAGCACCATTTATTAAAGAGGCTATGTTTCTTCCAGTGAACCCTTTGATAAAGATAAGGTGGCTGAGTGTGTTTGTAGTTATGTCTGCATCTTTTCATCTGCTCTACTGATTCTCGGGTCTGTCTTTATGCCAGTACCATGCTGATTTTATCACAGTGGCTTTATAGTATAATTTCAGGTCAGGGATTGCGATGCCTCCTGCCTTTCTTTTGTGGCCTAGGATTGCTTTTGATATTCTGTCTCTTTTGGTTCCAGGTGAATTTTGGAAATGCTTTCTCCAGCTCTGTGAGGTATATTAATGGTATTTGAATTGGGTTTGTATTGAATCTGTATAACAATTTTGGAAGTATGGTCATTTTTACAGTGTTGGTTTTTCCTATCGAGGGCAAGGAATATCTTTCCATTTTCTGAAATCCTCTTCAAACTCTTTTTCTCAGAGTACTGTAATTTTAACCATATAAATCTTTTACTTCCTTTGTGAGGCTGATTCCTAAGTATTTCATGCTTTTGGATGTTATTGTGAAAGGTGTGGTTTCCATAATTTCTCTCTTGGTGCATTCATTATTTGCGTACAAAAACGCTAATGATTTCTGAGTGTTGACTTTGTCTCAGCTATATTACTGAACGTGGTTATTAAATCCACAAGTTGGGCCAGCCAAATAGCTCAGTGGATTAAAGCACCTGCAAGCAGACACAGGGGCCAGGGTTTGATCCCCAGGCCTGTTGTACCGGCCCCGCCTCCAGGGCTTGCTGAGACGGCAACTGAGACTGGGCCTGGTGATGCGCACCTGTAATCCCAGCTCTTGGGAGGCTGTAAACAGGCGGATCCCTGAGTCCAATCAAGTAGTGAGACCCTGAGCACCCTATAGACCCTTCCTAAAACACAAAATCAGTCAATCAATCAATCTACAAACCCCTTGGTGGAGTTTTTGGAGTCTTCTGTGTAGAGTATGACATCATCTGCAAACAATGGTAATTTCACTACTTCTTTTCCAATTATTCCTTCTCTCTCTTGTTTAATTGCTTTTGCTAGTGTTTCCAGAACTATATTGAATAGAAGTGGAAACAGTGGACATTCTTGTCTGGTTCCTGATTTTAAAGTGAAGGCTTTCACTTTTGCTTTTTTAGTATGATGTTGGCTGTTGGTTTCTCATAGGTGGCTTTTATCAGGTTAAGACAGAGACTATCCTCATTCTCTGTAGGGTTTTTATCATGAATGAATGCTGGACTTTGTCAAAGGTTTTTTCTGTACCTATTGAGATGATCATGTGGTTTTCATCTTTGGCTCTACTGATACAGTGTATTACATTTATGGATTTGCGTATGTTGCCCATCCCTGCAATCCTGGGATAAATCCTACTTGGTTCTGATGCACAATCTTCTTGATGATTTTCTGCATTCTGTGTGCTAGTATCTTATTGAAGATTTCTGCATTTATGTTCATTAGGGAGATGGCCTGTAGTTCTCTTTTTTGGCTGGTTCTTTCTCTGGTCTTGGTATCAGAATAATGCTTGCCTCCAGGAATGAGGTTGGGAGATTGCTTCACTTCCAATTTTATTGAAGAGTTTGAGAAAAGTTGGCATTAATTCTTATCTAAATTTTATTTATTTACTTACTTATTTTGTCAGAACTGGGGACTGACCTCAAGCCCTTACACTTGCCAGGCAAGTGCTTGTTCTACTGAGCCATCTCCCTGGCCCTTATCTAAATTGCTTGTAGAATTCAGCTGTCAATCCTCCAGGACTTGGGCTTTTCTTTGTTGATAGGTTCTTTACTACAATTTAATTTCATTTCCTGTTATTGGGTTATTCAGAGTTTGTATATCTTCTTGACTCAGCCTTGGCATTTCATATTTATCTAGGCAACTATTCATTTCCTCTGTACTTTCCATCCTGAAAGAGTAAAGATTTTGGAAGTAGGAATTGATTATCTTCTGAATTTCTATAGGGTCTGTAGTGATTTTGCCTCTTTTCATTCTTTATTGCATGAATTTGGGTTTCTTTCTTTTGATAAGGCTGGCTAGTGTTTATCAACTTTATTCTTTTAAAGAACAAACTCTTTGATTCATTTATTCTTTGTGTTGTCTCCAATTAATTTCTGCTCGATAATCTTTATAATTTCCTGCCTTCTTAGCAAGGCTTTGGACTTGACTTGCTCTCCTTTTTCTAGGAGCTTGAGGTGTAGCATAAGATCATTTATTCAGGCTTGTTCTGTTTTCCTAATGTGCAAATTTACCACTATAAATTTCTCTTAAAACAGCTTTCATTTATGACAGATAACGTCATACTCTACACAGAGTATGGCAGATGACATCATACTCTACACAGAAGACTCCAAAAACTCCAAGGGGCTTGTAGATTGAATGATTGATTCATTGATTGATTGATTCTGTATTTTAGGAACCTGTAGCCCACAGGTTCTGGTAAGTTGTATATGCATTTTCATTTGATTGTAAATATTTTTAAATTTCTTTTTAAATTTCATCTGTGACCCACTGGTTGTTTAGAAGGTTAATTTCCATGTGCTTATAGAGTTTTTGTGATTTCTTTTGGTCAATAATTTCCAATTTTATTGCACTATGATCAGATAAAAGGCATGTGATAATTTCAATTCTGTTGCATTTGCTTAAGTATGCTCTGTGTGCTAGTATATATTCTATTTTGCAGAACATCCCAAGTGCAACTGAGAAGAACATGTATTCTGATGTGAGGTAGAAGACTCTGTAAAGGTCTTCTAAGTCCACTTCTTCACAAGTTTGGTTTAGCTCTGTTATTTTTGGCTAATTTTTTGCCCAGTTGATCTATCTCTTTGTGACAGTGGCATGTTAAAGTCCCCTATTACAACTGTATTATTGCTCATTTGACTTTTCATGTCTATTAAAATCTTTCTCATGTAAGGTGGGTTCTCCAGCATTAGATGCTTATAAAATTATCTCTTCCTCTTGCAGTTTTTCCCAACAAGTATACATAATGACTGTTTATCTCTTTCAATAATTTTTGAAGTTGATACTGTCAGCAACCAGAATAGCTACCCCTGCTTTCTTCTGGGTTCCTGTTGCATGGAGCATTGTTTCCCACCCTTTGACTTTCAGTCTGTGAATTTCTTTTCAAATTAAATGTGTTTCTTGTATACAGCATATTGTTGGATTTTGTTTCTTAATCTGCTCTATCAGTCTGTTTCTTCTGATTGGTGAGGCTGTTTACATTGATGGTTATAACTTAAATATATTGGCTTATATTTCTCATGTTATTATTCAGTCATGGGTTCCACAATTTATACCTCTTTTTCATTACTTTCTCTGTTTGGTAGCTCCTTTCTGCTGCTGTTGATGAAATTGTGGTTATTTTTTGTCTCTGTAGATGATCTGTCAGTACACTTTGTAGGCTTGGTTTGGTGGTCATGAATTTCTTCAGTTGTTATCTGTCATGGAAGGATTTTACCTCACTCTTGAATTTGATAGTTTTGAAGGGCACATCAATCTGGTTTGGAAGTTATTTTCTTTTAGAACCTGAAATACTTCACTCTAATCCCTTCTTGATTTGATGATTTGTGTCAAGAAATCTGCTGATTCTGATGGGCTTTCCATTGTAGATGAGCTGTTTCTTCTAACAGCTTTTAATATTTTATTCTTTTGTTGAATCTGCGGGATCTTGATTATTATGTGTCTAGGTGTAGATTTGACTACGGCTATTTGGAGTTCCATATGCCTCATTTGTCTGTGTGTCAGATTCTTTTCTCATGTTTGGGAAATTTTCTGCAATTATTTCTGCAAATAGTCTTTATGTCATTTGTGGTAAGTCCTGATGTTTTGTTGTTATGGTCTGTGTCTAGTTGTTCCTCCAAAGCCTCATATAAGTCAAAGGGTAGACTTCTAGAGTTTGTGATTAAGTCATGAGCCCCTGGGATTATGGGTGTGAGTGCTACAGATAGCCTGAACGGTACTTAAGGGAGATTTGCTCTCTGTAGCTGTTGTTGCTGCTACCACTCCCTTTTGCTCTCTGCTTTTTGCCTTGCCATGAAAGGCTGCTCTCTGCCATGTGCCACTTTGCCTTGGAGCTAGCTGAGTATGGACTGAAACCTCTAGTAACTGTGTGCCAAATAAACCTTTCCTTACTTCATTTTGAGTGTTAAGTATTTGTCCCAGCAACAAGAGAAGAGAAACTGAGACATGTTGACACTATTATTCTTATATTGTTTTTTGTTTTTCATCATCTTGTAGCTGCTAACATTATTTCCTGGTTCCTTACTAGTTTTAAGAGATCTTTACTTTCATATTTATTAGCTGTAGTGTTGTCCAGGGTCAGAAAGTCTATCTTCAGTTTCGTTCAAGCAGTTTTGCCAGTTTCAATGGAGTTCTTAATTTCCTGGATATCTATTTGAATCTGTTCCATGCATTCTAATTCTTCCCTGTATTGTTCGTTTTTCCATCATTTTTCTATTCTTTTTTTTTTTTTAACCTATGTCTTCTTTAGCTGTGCTGAGCAACTTTCACAATCATTGCCATTTCTTTTTTGACCTGAGTGATTATTTAGGGTTTCTTCTATAACCTGATAGAATTGTCTCTCTACTTCAATTGCACTTCAGAAGTTTCAGGTGTGTAACTTCCACATTCTTCTATGTTCTTGTCTCTTGGACTTGTTCTTGATGGACTGGCACATGGAGATTGCCTTTTCCTCCTGTGCTTTGGCATTTTTGAAGCTCCCAATGATCACCCAGCTCAGCAGGGCTGGGAGAGCAATGAATATGGGTCAGTAAGGTTCCCGCTACAGTAAGGGGGCAGCATAGGATTCATCAAAGCTCTCATTAGCACTCAACAAAGTTTCTGTGCAGGTGGTGGGCGTGGGCCAGGATCACGAGGCTGCCTGGCATGCTCCTAAGTTCCCAGACGCTTGGATTCACTGCCAGCACAGCCACTGCACCAAGGCACTGGGGCCCATGAGTCACAGCTCACCATAATCCTGTAGGCTGCCCAGAGTCTAAGTTCTCAAATGGTGGTACTGGGTGCCAGTGAAACTATAGTGCCTGCAAGCACTGGGGTCCTCAGGTCACAGCACACCAAAATCCCATGGGCCGCCCAGAGTCTGCCTAAGTTGTAAAAATCCCCCCAATTTTGACAGACTGGATACAATATAAGGGACAGAAAAAATCTTGTCTTGCTCTTGTTACTTTTGCTGTCTTCTACCACCATGAACTGCTGCTCTCTGCCAGCTGTCTCTCTGCTTTGGAGCCAGCTGATTATGGACTAAAACTGCTACAAACTGTGAGCTAAATAAACTTTCTATCCTCAGTTTTGGGCACTGGGTATTTTGTTTCAGCAATGAGAGAAAAGTAACCAAGACTTCAGAAAAGATTTCCTTTTTTCTTAGACGATTTTTGAGAAAATTCCAGGTAGCCCACTGCTTCAGCATTGGACACTTATAAACACATTTCTGCTCTTAACCACACTACAACGATCACTCCCAAAATTATAGTTTCCAATAGAACCCAAAACAAGCTCTACTTGTTTATGTGTTATTCCTGCATATAAATGTAATGGATTTTTGTACGTGTGTGTATGTGTGCGCACGCGCGCAAGTTGTATCCTGTATGTTTGTATGCTTCCATACAAACATAAGGGATCCTTGTCTTTACTTGCATGTTCATGCTGTGTCTTTCTCCCATAGTAAGGCTATATAGGTGGTAGTGTGACAGTTTCTCAGCTACACTTTGTGACAGTCTCCACAGACTTGCTCCATGTGGTAACCCATTTCTAGGTTGGATGTCTGATGTTTACTGGGAGTCACTGCTGAGTTGTGCCTCAGGGCCTAGTATAATATGAAGCAGACAGAGGCCTTCTGCCTCTTTCCTCATATGTACTCAGAGTATAGCTTAACTCATGCACAGCATCCACAAGCAGGGCACCATATTCCATTGGGCAACACAGAGACCCCGGGGCTCCCCGCAACCCTGGGAAGGATCCAGGCCCACCTCCAGGTCCAAGAAGACCTCCTCTAGCAAGCTGCTGCAGCCTTCCTTGGCAATAGCATCCAGAATCCCATCCATACTTGGTTGGCTCAGACACACGCCCTCCTCTGCTTCATTTTTTAAGTACTTCTTCTTCAAACTGACGATTGATTCTCTGCAAGGAAATATCCTGGGATCAGGGAAACAGCATCTGGGCACCAATACTCACCTCCTGTCCCATGAGCGTACTTAAAGGTCTGGCAGTTGTTGATGATGGCGATCATGTACTGCACGTAACAGTGTGGGTGCTGCCGGTTCCGCAGGTGCTCCTCTTTGTATAGCTGGGCCTCGTCTCTGTACCTGGGGACCATGCAAGTATAAGTGGTGGGCACCACTCCTTCCTGGTGTCATGCTGACATCAGCCTGACAGCAGGCCCATACCGCCACCACCACACACATCTCTAAACATAAATCACACTCATGAGTGGTCCATACTGACTGCAGAACAAATAAGTTGACTACTGTAAGTCAATGTTAAAGAATATGGAAAAACAGATACAAAGAATACTTAGATCCCTGATATATCAAGAAAACAAACAACTGAGACACCATACATTATTTTTTAGCTTATCTTGGAGAGTCTCAAGCATTGGAGCAAGAGAGCAGCACAGTGCACAGTGTATACATTTTTAGATGTTAAAAAGAGCTGAGGGTGGGCATGTAGAGGGAAAAAACATTTATTCTGTCTCTCCATTCAAGTCCGATTCAGGTATCAAGCAACTGAGACTGGTCTGGGAAAGCTCCTTTTCACATAAATGAATAATGACCTGGACTGTGATGTGTGGTAAGCCGTGAAAGCACCTGGGCCCTAAACCAATGGACAGACTGACAAGACTCAGGATCTGACTCTGTGAGCGAATGGAGGGTCTCAGGACTCTGAGGAAGATGACTGAAGATGACTGAAGATGACTGGTGGTCAGCACTGAGCTAGCAGGAAAAAACTAACCCATGTCTAATAACCTGCAGCATGCAGCACACCCATCGGTAAATAAGCACTCAGACAGCTTTTGGAGTGGTCTTGGTCTTAGGGTAGATGGCATTCAGAGGATAGTCAGAAACGCCATGGGACCCAGACACCACAGTGACTTGCCTGCCTTATCTGAAGAAGGAACCTAAAGAGCAGAGGGTGGCCCTTGGGCAGCAGAGGCCTAACAATGCAAGGCAAGCCTATCTGTGAGCCAATGGTGCCGCAGTCACAGCATAAGACATAGAATGTGACTGCCATGTTGTCTGGGCAGCAGAGAAGAATGACAGGAGGACAGCAGGTTAGGTAAGGATAGTGGGAAGAGGTAGCTTTGAAATGAACAGATTTTTCATGCTATTCTTTCTCTTCTGTCTAGGTCTGAAAAACCTTCATTACAAACAATACAAAAGGAAAGGCCCACTGGGACAGCCTACCCTCCCTATCTGCATCTGTTGGGGTAGCCTCTCCTGGGAGGTGACTACTTCCCTGAGGGCTCACTGCTCACCCTAAGCAGTTCCAGTCACAGGCAACTGTCTAAGGTGCCAACCTCCATATGGCTAGCACTTCTGACTACACTGCCGAGGACTTCACAGTACCTCAGGTCATAGTATGGTCTACTCAAAAGGAAGATAGATCTAACCTATCTGCATTTCTTAAAAAAAGGGGGGGGACTCTACAATCTTATCTTTTAAAAGCAGCACATTAGGGTGAACACAGTTTTTGCTTCTAATTTTTGAAAATATACAATTTATAAATTAATACAATAGCAAAAATACATACCTACTTAGAAAAGAATTCATTTGCTGAAGACACAAAACCAGCACCTTTGTTTTCAATTCTTCACTTATCTGAGAAGCAACTTGAAGATTCTGCTCAAACATCTGAAAGTTGAAGAACTTGTAAGTGCTGACACAGGGCTGGGGAGATAGCTCAGCGCACAAGTGGCTGCCTGGCAAGCGCAAGAATCCCGAGTTCAATCCCCAGTGGCGTAAAAAAAGAGAGAATCTGTAAGTACTGACACAATCTTACAAGAAAACGTATAGTTCAGTTTCCCCATTTTAAGGAAACCCTGTCTGCTAACTGGGAGTTGTAAGTCAAATTCCAAGAAAAAAGTGAAACTAGTTGAAAAATAAAGCAAGTGAAATAAACACGTTTCTCAGTGGGTAAGAAACCAAGCACATGATCCCCTAGTCACCTGTCGACAGGGTTCTTCAAGAGATGCATTCTCTCATCACATCCTTAATGCTAAGGTGAGGGGGGAAGAGTCAGGAGGGGGTTGGGGCCCAGACCTGTGAGTGACAGGGGTGGTCTGGAAGTGTGGGATCTGAGCATCCAGACTGCGCCTCGTGATTCATGACCAGCCACTTTCAAGGGCTTCAGGAAGTGGATTTTAAAGAATCAGGAGGCCGACACACTGGAGCTGGGATACAAGAAACAGAGACGGGCAACACAGCCTGAGCTCCCTATGGACTGTGGTGATACAGAGTATGTCAGGAGAGGTGCAGGCCTCCTTTGCTAAGGAATGACACTGTCTTTTGCATATCCACTGGTCTTGCCTGCACCTGGCCAGAGGCTTTTACCCTATGCACAGAAGGAGAGAGTGGCACAGCCAGGGCAGGCATCAAAAGGTGAGTCAGACCCTGGCACTGTGACTAGTTAGTGTACCGGAAAGTACTTTCAACAGGGTACAGGATTCCTCTAGATTCTCCAGATGAAACTCAAATTACACAGCATTCTGAAGGTACAGCTTGCATATTTACAACAGGGGGAAATGTCAAAAAAGCAAACTCAGGCTGGCAGCATCATGCACAATCTACGTATATAGGTAGGCCCAAGCTTAAACCCAAAGACTTCTTGGGAAAACTAAAGTGACCATGGGCAAAACTATTTGGTCAGTAAAATCCTGGATCCTCAGTTTCTTGAACCCCAGAGAAAAAGAGACAGAGGGAGAGAGCGGGACAGAGGTTTCTCACTTTATGTCTACAAAGAGTAAAGCATACGTGGCCCTCAGTAAAACTGAGAGATGCTACAAACTGCCCAGAAGGTGACACCATGGAGGTCCACGGCTCCCACCTGGAAGACAATGGCAGGCAGCGTTGTCTGGTAGTACCCGTCCTGGTCAGCTTCAGGCTCTGTGTCTTTGCTCCAATCCTTTTTGTCTGTTTCCAGTGCTTTCCGCAACCAGGCAATGATGTTGGACTAGAGATATGGCATCATGAAGAAGGGAAAGGAGGATGGGCACTGAGCTATACCCAATGTTCTCACTACAGTAGCACATGCTATCCAACCAGACCCAGTGCATGATGGCAATCCTTGTTCTCAGAGGCCACTAGGGCACCTCATGAGGTGGGCAATGCCCACACCAGTCTCCAGGGACGTGGACCAAACCCTCACTGCAGGTAAAAGGGGAGAATGGACAGGAGACCTCATGGATGGCCATGATACTGAGTGATGCAGCCAGACTAGTCTGATACCCAGACAGCAAGGCAGGCATGTGGCCAGGGTCAGGCCACCCAAGACAGACAATGCAGCCCATCACCTCAGCCTCCAAAAAAGACAGTTCTCCAACCCCCAGGGAGCCTTAAATTAGGCAGAATGCCACAGTGTCACTCAAGAGACATTCTGATCTTTCAGCTTATTGAGACTGCCTGGTGATCATGAAGCTATAGACAGACTGGCCTCCCATGCCACAAACTGCCATACCCTACTTGGACTCAGTGCTAAGAGCCCAGCAGACAGAAACATACATGGCATGGACACAAGGCAATGCAAGTTGGCTCCCCCATCACAGGAACTACAGCTATCTGTAGAACAGACACTCCAGACCCAGCAGCCTCCAACTGCAGATAGATGTGCCAAGTCCAGAAGCAGAACCAAGAAAACTGCAGAGGGCCTGACCCAGATGTAGCTTGCCCTTTTCTCCCCTGGCACCAGTCATGCATACATCCTACAGATAACCCCTATGCAATTCAATGGCTCTACTCACAGTGAGCGTGGACATGTACGTGTCGAGCAGTTGAGAGACCACATCTGGAGAGAGCAGAGGCTCCAGGGCATTGACGTCTACTTCTGGAGCCAGTTCCATGTTCCCCATCATCTCCACACTACAGTGTGAGTGGTGAACCACAGGAAAAACAGGATCAGGTAAGCTGATTTACATGCAGATGCCCAAAGCCCTTGGAGACAACTCAGGGTCTACATACAACTTGCTGGGTGAGAAGTCAAGGGTCTTTGGGTTCTCACATGATGTCACTTTGCTGGCTGTGTGGCCACGTATGTCAACTTGACGCAGGCCTTGTCCCTTGGTGCCAGTGGCTCAAATGCAGGAAAAAGTCATGATGGTGAGGTCTCTCTGTCCAACCCAGTGTCTCTAGGGTCTCCCAAAAGCAGGAGGCACTAGTCTGGCTTTATTAAGAAACTGCTGAGCAGGACCATACCCTGGAGATCGTGTCCCTGCAGTCACCATCACAGCCCTACACAAGGATGCAATCACAACTCTGCAGAAGGATGCAGACTGGGCATACATGACTTTACTCATGAAAAAGCAGTCAACAAAAAAGCGATATGTCAGTTTATTGTGCAGAATGCTAGGAAATGTGAACTAAGTTTCAGGGTAAAAATTTTCATGCAAAACAGTATCTGTGAATGTAGTTCAGTTCTTACAAAGTCTAGAGTTTTGCTGGGCATGGTGGTTTATGTCTATAACCCCAGCTATTAGGGAGGCTGAGGCAGGACTCTAAGTTGAAAGGCAGCCTGAAGAACTTAAGCCACGTTGCTCAGTTTGAAGGCCATGGGCTCAATCTGGAGCACCACCAAGAAGGAAGGGGGTGGGAGGAGAAAACAATGATGCGTGGAGGATGACTGCTCAGAGAACTTACATATTTCCTGAAATGAATTTAGAAAAACTCTGAACAATATTACTAGCTAGTCAACCTATGAAATCCAAGGTGAGGCATGGTAGTATAGACCTATAATTCAAACACTCTGGGAAGCTAAGGCAGGAAGGTTGCACATTTGAGCCACATCGGACAACTTAAAAGATTTAGTGTGCTGTAGCCTCAAAATTAAAAAAAAAAAAAAAAAAAAAAAGGCTGGAGTTTTAGTTCAGTGAGAAGGTCCTGGGGTCAAGTCCAAATTTACACTCACACACCAAAACACACACAAAGAAATCCACGATATTTCTCAGTAAAAAGTGCTTTATAAAATTCTGATATTATTCAAAGACAATTCATTTAACGTATTTCTGTGCTAAGAAGCTCAATTCAGTGAATAAGGAATACCAAGGTGCAGCACAGACTCTTTGCAGAGAGTCCAAGTTAAGGGACACACACAGCAGAGTAAGCCAGGCTTTAGGGGACATACATGGGAGAGTCCAGCCAAAGAGACACACATGGGGAGAGTCTAGCCCAAGGGACATGTGGAAAAAAATCCTGGCCTGAGGGACACACACGAGAGATATCCCCATCTGAAGATCATATATATGGGAGAGCCCGGCCTGAAGCACCACATGGCAAGTATGGACAGAGCTCACAGCGTGGCAGCAAAGATATAAAACCAACACACAGACTACACAAAACTCATGAACACACCCTTCACTTTCCAGGGTTCAGACCTGGTGCCGGGCCCAGGGCCCAACCTCGAATCCTGCTCCCTAACTGTTCAACCACCCACGGAGATGACCATGGTATCTCCCTCCTCTAGTGGCTGTCAGCACATACAACACACCATGCTATGTTCTGGCCACACAGTAAGATTACAATAGAAATAATGACCACCGTTTCTGACTTTCTGTTTCAAATTTTCTTTTTCTTCACATCTTCCTGCATTGAAATGTATAAACTCTCTACTACAAGCAGTTATAAATTAAAAAACCACAAAAAATAATAAACCTCACTAAGAAAATGTTTACTTTGTCTCACCACAAGAGCAACAAGGTATGAAAATATCATAAAAATATTAGATATTATTTAATATTGTTTCCTATTCACAGAACCATGCAAAATTAAGTTACATTTCAACTCCTTAATCTTGCATAATTTCAACAGACCCTACCAATGGGTCAATTTTCAAATGCTAGGACATGAAGTGGCTAAGGCTCCCTCATATGAAGTAATAAAATCTGATGCTAAAATGCAAAAGGACTACTAATTTTTCTAGGTTTATATATACTTGTAATTGTTTTTATTTACATTTGAATCGGTCTTTGGTCTCATTGTCTAGGATTGTCTCTTAACTTGTAGGTTCAAGCAATCCTCTTGCCTCAGCCTCATAAGTGGTGAGACTATGGGTATACTTCTTTGCACCTGACTTGCAGCTCTTTATTTTTTGAAAAGCTAACTGCCATGGCATACTAGTGATGCAGGTCAAAACTGGTGGTTACATTACCAGCCCAGTGATTAGGTGAAGGTCATAGTGCTTCTTGAGGCCACATACTCCTACCCATAGAACAGGGAACATATACTTGCCTCAGGGTGTCACTGTGGGGAACCAAGTCTATGCACAGAAACAACTTGACACAAAGTGCACATGTAATGGAACTTGAGGCTGAGAGCACATAAAGAAAGAACTTACACACCTACCTTTTGTAGGTGTTCAAGACCCACGTCAGCAGGCTTACGATCTCATTGGCCTCTAGGTCTTCTGATGCTAGGTCCTGCATTCTTGTGCTCAGGGCCTGGTGGTACATACGCAGGAGGTTTTTAAAGATCTCATAATGTGGAGGGAAGCACTGAACCATCAGGTTTTTGGCAACGATGAGGTCATCCAGGACATACTTCCTTATGATTTCCAGGTGGCGCACAAGCCACATCTTGTCAGACTCCCTGGTATCTGCCTGTGTGCCCTCAATTCTAGTTGTCACAGTTCTGTCCAAGATGGCAAACATTTTCTCTTTCCAATTTTTGGGCCTCCCAGGAGGAACAAAACCAGTTTGTTTTTTTCGGTCAAGTATACGCCTGTCAATTTTTTCCTCCCTTTCAATGATCCTGACCACTGAGACCAGCAAGGTGGGATCCCTGCGGACAGTGACCAGGGACCTCTGCAGCACCATCCACAGTTGCTTGGCCAGCTCATCAGAGAGCCCCTGTGTGCTGCCGAAGTAGCCGTGGATGAGGGTCATGTCCCGCGTGTTCCCACTGTCCATGCGGTACTGCTCACACATCAGCCCATCCCGAGAGCACTCCAGGTCCATCAGCTTCCGGTGGGCTTGCAGCAGAGCCCCTTGCTCAATCAGGTCCTGGGTCTCCCGTACAATCTCAGGCACTACAGATATAAGACAAGCCAGGGGCTGGTGAGATGGCGCAGTGGTCTAAAGCACCTACTTAGAACAAGCTAAGCTAAACAAAGCACAGGGACCGCGGTTCAATCCCGAGCACCACATGCCAGCCAGCC